GGTGTGGTCCCACTAATCCTTTCATTAGTCCCTGAAGTCGCGTAGCTAGTATCTTGGTGATAATTTTGTAAGACACATTACAAAAACTTATTAGCCTCAATTGCTTTAAGGAAATAACTTGATCGACCTTTGGTATGAGAGTGATCAATGAACTATTAATCTCAGCCACTTTCCCAGGTTTTGCTTCTATATCATGAATCATTTGGCACAAAAAGAACCTACTGTAGACCATTGTGTTTTCTAGAATATTGCCAAGAACCCTTTGGGACTTGGAGTCTTGAAACTACCCATATGCATAGTTGTATTATAGATTTCTTGATCCGAGAAACTTCGTGCAAGAATATCCGTATCCCTCTGGTCTAAGGTAGGAAAGGAGTTAGACAAACAAAAAGGTTCATACACATTTAGATTCATAAAATAAAACCTTGTAGAAGTTTGTCACCATAGCCTCCAACTCCTTAGTATCATCAATCCATACTACAGCTTCATTCTGTAACATAATGACTTTATTCTTTCTTCGTCTAATGGCAGTCACACTATGAAAATAACGCATGTTTCGATCCCGAAGCTCAAGCCACTTACAACAGAAGTGTTGAAACCATAGAAGTTATTCTCTTATGAGGATTTGTTCATATTAGGACCAAAGATCACAAGAAAGGTTCCCCAAAAAAGGATTGCTCCCATCACAAAGTTTAGATACAATACCATTCAATCTCTTAATCACACTCCTTTTTATAGAGAAAATATTACCAAAAGTTGTTTGATTCCAATGAAGAAGGTTGCATTGAATATGCTCCAACTTGTTGGCCTAGTTGTGTCTGGTATTCCACTGATCACTTATCAGCTTAGAGAATTTAGGGTGTGTAATCCATGCAACTTCAAACCAAAAAGGGTGCTGTTTTTGGGTAACAATGATAGAATTACCAAGTTTTAAAAGAATAGGACAGTGATCAGATTTCAAATAGTTTAAATGAAAAATGTTTGCATCTAGGAAATTCAATTGCTAATAAACATTTACCAGAACCCGTTTAGGCGTTCTAATAAGGAATCTCTTCACTATGTAAACAAATCACCATGAAATCTCATATCAATGAATTGGCAATCTTGAACGGCTTTTCTAAATGTAAAGTCTCCACATAAACATCCCTTTGAAAATCTTTCTTTCCCCTCAGCAAATTGCAAAACAGCGTTAAAATCACACATAGCACTCCAAGCCCTATTAATGGTAGAAGCCAAATGACATAAGTCCAACCAAAGCTCAATGCGAAGTTGAGGGTGAGGATTAACATACACAGTAGTTAGATACCAGTTCTTCATATCAATTGAAATAGAAAAATGAATATACTGTTTTGATTGAGAAAGAACATCCAACTTTCAAATTGTGAAATTTCTTAAGCACCATATCTTACCCGCGTGGCCTTGAGCGTCAACCAAAAATTAACTAACCAGATAAATACATTTTATTACCTTTTGGGCAGAAGACCCATTTATATGAGTTTTTAGTAGAAACAAGATACCTACATCATATTCTCGTATAGAGTCATTAATTAAAGGAACAAAACCCTTACAGCCAACCCTTTTACAATTCCAGATATTATCAACCATCTTCTCCCTTTCTGCAGGTTTAGTTACTAAAGCAGCTCTAGGGTCAAGGTGTTGGCGTAACAGGCTAGCAAAAGCTAGAGTTTATTCATCTAGTAAATGAACTCGAGATGACATGTCAGCATTCAAGGATGGACCACTATTGAAAGATAATGCCACTCGTTGAAGACTAGAAAACACTAAATCAGAATTGCATTGTTCACGTATAGTAGGTTTTTCTTTTATCTTGAGCTTATTAGATTAGGGTGAGTCCTACTTGTTAACCTTGTTTAAAGGTAAATTTATTAACCTACATATATAGGCTTATTATAAATACATTTTTAATAAATTTTTGGGTCAAATTAACTTCTTAGAAAAATTTTTATGAAAACAATAGTTTTATTAAAATATGATTATTTGTTTAAAATATAATTCTTAAAAATTAAAATTAGATAAACGTTATTTACATCATGTATGTAAGTTACTCCCTCCAATTCTTTTTATTAGAAACAAAATAAAGTATTCTCTTGGTCCTTATTATAAGAAACAATGATAGATTCAAAATACATTAATTGTTAAAATTTTTTTATACCGTTCTTTTATTAATATTATTAAATATACAAATTATTAAATATACCATTTAATATCATAGACATTTTTAAAATAAAATTTATATTTATGAACTTAATTACTTTTCTTGATCCTGATAATTTAGTCTTTTGTTTCTTATAAAAAAGACCGAAAGAGTATTAATGTAAAACTTACAAAACTTAAATTTAACTTATTTAAATAATAGATTCTAATTTCAAACTAAAATATATTTAATTAATTAAATAAAAAAATGATCTAAATATTTAATAACATTGATGAATTCAACTATTGATTAGAAAGTTTTTATTAATTTTATTAAGATTTTATATAAAAATAAAATTAATAAGAATTTCATTGTATTATTTTATTTTAACATAAATTATATTTTTAAAATAAAAGTAATATAATAGAAAAAGATAGAAAATATTAACAGAATTAATCTTTTAATAAAAAAAACTTATTTAAAAATTAAAATAAAATTAAAGAATGAAATTAAATTTAATTTTAAATTAAAACAAAAAATACTATTTTTAAATCTGTATATAAAGTTTATTGATTTAAAGTATACATTGATTGATGTGCCGCACACAACCCTGGAACACATTTGATACTGATATATGTCCATAACTTATGTAACATAGAGTATGTTTTGATCAGATTTTAAAAAAATTAATCAAATTATATATTTAATATCTATAATTTTCACATATGTATCAATCGGTTTATATACTTAAAAATTTATATTTAGATCCTATATAAATACATTTATTACGAATACCTTTTAGTATTTAGTTTATGTGATATAATAAGGAATAAAATATAATAAAAATACTTATTTTCTAAAATTTATATTTTTAAGTTTGTTAAATAATTTTTAAATAAATATTAATGATAAGAATTAAATGTGTATTTTAATTTATCATAATTTTTTAAAAAATATAGCACCTCACACTTAATTGAGAGAAGACTGTATTATAGCTCAATTTTGTCTTTAAAATACACTTAATTCTTGATTGATAAAGAATGTAACTTCATTTAATATTTTTATTTTTTAACTTTCAACAAAAACAAATAAAATATCAATGTTATCATTTTAAGTATGATTATTTAATATGTAATTATCTCAATTGATATAAAATATATTTTTTTATACAATATATAATTTTTTTAATTTTTTTAAAAAAATATAAAAAATTTATTATTTTTGAAATATGAAATTATATCACTAATCAAAATCAGATTAATTAATTTTATCATGTGAGTGGATCTTTTACTTTTTATATCATGATATAATTTAATAATTTTTACTATATTAACTTAAAACATTATTATTTAATCCTAATGGTGTTTTTTTATTAACTAAACTTTCTATTTATGAAAAAACATTTAGACATATCTAGACCTTTTATCCAATTTAACTATAGTTATAATTTTTTTATTGATTTACATATTCACTAAATTAATAAATTTTATATTTATCAACATATATGATTATTATCATAAATAATGATCGATGAATTCAATATATGAGTTTACAGTCTCTTAAAAATTTATAATTGATATATCTAGCATATGCTCCAATTAAATCTTTATTTATTTATTTTTACAATTTTGGAGCTTTTATGTGTATAATTTAACCTTATAAAATAAATTGCTTTCTCCTGGCAGTAACTCAAATTACCCTCTCACTTGTCTTTGCCAGCACTCTAGCCTTTTCCTTTTTCCCCCTAAAATAGTATTAAATTAAAATAATTTACCAAAAAATATTCATATAAAATAAAATAAAACAATTTAGAGTAATTTTAAACATGTGTGTGATATGTGCATTGTGATGCATAACTGAAACGTAACTCAAAAAGTTGTCACGTGTTATGTTGTGTAAACATTAAAAAAATAATACTAATAATTTACTCAACGCTGAGAAATTGATTCTCTTATTTTGGAGTCATCCAAGAAATTGATTTGCAAGTGGAGTGGGCTTGGGTGTATCAAATGGAGCCCAAGTCCAACCTGGGCCTGAATGGGCTTTCTAGTTTCAATAATAAGCCCAATGGCAACAATATCTGTGTACTTCCGCGACTTCACGCCAAAAGCAAAAAAAGAGAGGTTCAACTTAATATCACTCTTTTTTGTGTTGCTGCAGAGTGTCATACTTGAAAGCTGTTCTCATCCCAGGCTTAAAGGTGTGGAATCAAGGTACCAAATTAATCTTCCCAAATTGCAAAATTAGTTTCCACTTCAATTGCATTGATCCTAACGATTCAGTTTGGGTTGGTTCAGTTCGATTAGATTTTTCAGAATGTTTAACACAACTCATTTTAAGGAAAATATAAGTTAAATGAGGGTAGACACTACAATAATAAAATGAAAAGTCTTTAGAAGTAAAAAGATTACGTTACAATTAATTGGCATTACATCTTTGTATTAAGCATGAGTCTTCATTGTTAGAGCTATTTGCTTTCTTATTACGTTATGTGACTTTTTATATAGTGAACAATTTTTTTTCAGATTCAATCTCGATTTGAATTTTAAGTGTCCGTAATTTTTTAATTTTAAAACTTTTCTCTTTTTAAGTTAGTTTTATTTAATATTGTAATGCACCCTACAGCCACCTCATTCATAATGCACCCTAGCTCACAACTCAGCCTCTAAATCTGGACCAAAAGAAAAGAAAACCCCCAAAATAGCGTGTTGCAACCTTTTCATTTATTTTTTAAAAACATTAATTCCAGAAGACTGAGTCAAGGAATTAGTAATAATAAAATTTTATTAAAAAATTATGTATTACAATTTTTATATCTCAAACGAAATAAATATCTTTTTCTCATAAATACTTAACCCTTTATTACTATTAAATATTTAAAATCAACCATAAAAATTGAAATTAACATAAGCGTAAATGAATCCACCACCCTACTTCCCTTGTGACTTGAGCTTCAGCAATCCCTGTGGCAGGTTATACAACCTGGTGGCAAGGTAGATTTGGCAGGAACTGGCCTTGTCAAGTTGCCAGTATCAACTGAATTTCAGATGGTCAACTTTGTTAGTATAGGACAAGAGTTTAATTAAAAATTGAAAATATAAAACAAGATTATCGTTGTTAAACAAGTTCTCATAAAAAAGAGTATAACGCTCCAGCCTTCTAGGTATGTCGCCGTCACTTTGATATTAAAATAGACAAATAAATACACGGGAAGATGTATTAACTATTATAAAATACGTGATCCTGAATCATGTAACGTGCCTTTGAATTTGAAGTGTAGTGTGACGTTACATTGTGCAACATTCATGACTTACAGCAAAGTTTAATTTAACTTCAAGAGTTCTCTCAAAAAACCTAAATGCAACGAGAATTTAATTTTCTAAAAAGATAAGCTAACCCAGACGTCCGTAATTCTGTGTTCAATTCCTGAACACTTTTTGCTCATTAGTGAAAATCATTCCAAAAATGATAGTCTTACTATTTTATTGTGTAGCTTTAATCCAAGCCATCATGAAAAATTAATAAATCAAGTAGAGGATCAATCCTCCATTATGTTATAAGATCCAGGCATTGAAGAGAGGACTTACGAAGTACACCTCATGAAGCTTACTCATCCATCTAGAACAAACAATTGCAGCTGAAAAACATTCCAACAACTTTAGACACAAGTAACTTCATCCAGCCATTCATAACTACACCGTTAACCCAATGGAAGCTCATCATTCAAAGAAATAAAATATAAGAACAACCACCGAAGGCAACATCAAGTGCAAACAGCAATCTCTAAAAACAAATTCCAAAGTTCACTGTCATTCAAGGAGTACTACAGTGTAACTTCACTCATCAAAAAAGGAAAATTGTTCATAGCAGCAGGGCATCAACATCTCTACACTTTCAAATAACACAGCAAGCTTTACAAATTAGTTAGAATTCTATCATCAAACCATCAACACCATAACACTATGCCAACAAAAATGTGAAACTTAAATTGTTGATATAAACACTAATAATCCTGACACTAACACAACAAATTCACTACTCAATTCATCAAGATACCCCAACTATACACAACTTCCACCTAGACACTTGCAAGACTATAAACATCACAAAAATGCCCATAAACCCAAGACCAAAAAAGTTCTACACTCATGGAATACAGAAGTATACTGTAACACCACTCATAAACAAAGGAAAAACGTTCATTGCAGCAGAGCAAAAACAATTCAAAATCCCATCACTTCTCAAAAAATAATCACAGCAAGCTTTAAAAACTTAGTTAGAACTCTCACTAAACCATCCATCAACAACAGAACACTAAGCCAATGTGGCAATAAAAATAAACCTCAATTGCTATTATAGACACTACCACAACAAATTCACTAAATTCAACAAATACAAACCTTCGCCAACCCCAACTGTACACACTTGCAAAAACCCAAATCCCCACAAAAAAAAATATTCCCTTTTTCTAAAATTCTTCAAACCCTAACCACCAAAAAATGAAAAAAACCCACGTTTGGGTTCCTCCTCAACCACCACAGCCTGCATGCTATCTTGCTCCACGAGCCTCCACGCGGCTTGTTCAAAAGCTAACCCAGCCAAAGTTGGAGGCTTATTAAGCACAAGAGGGTACCCTCTATTGGTACTCCTAATTACTTCACAATCCTCAGGAATTACCCCAAGCAAAGGTAACCCTAACATTTCTTGCACATCCAACACCGACATCATATCTTCTCCTTTTATCATATCCGTTCGAACCCTATTCACTATCATTTTTATATCCCTAATTCCATCACATTCAAGCAATCCCGTGACCCTATCAGCGTCTCTTAGCGATGTTATGTCCGGTGTTGTGATTAGCACCGCCTCGTTCGCCGGCGTTATGGCGGTTATGAATCCGGCGTCTATTCCGGCGGGGCAATCGATGAGGATGAAGTCAGGGGAGCCTTCTTGACGCGCTTTGAGCGCGTCGACGAGCCACGTTAGGGCTTTGCCTCCGAACCCTAAGGGGAGTTTCGAACGCGGTTTTGAGATGCATAGGAGTTCGAAGTTGGACCAGCGTTTGTCGCGAACGAGGGCTTGATCTAACCGGCAATCGCCGTTGAGGACTTCAACGACGGTGTAATTGACGCGGTTCTCGAGGCCGAGGAGGAGGTCGAGGTTACGGAGGCCGACGTCGGCGTCGATGGCCACGACGGAGAAGCCGAGGCGAGCGAGGGAGAGGCCGATGTTGGCGGTGGTGGTGGTTTTGCCGACGCCACCTTTGCCGGAAGTTATGACGGTGACGCGCGGGGTGTCACCGGCGAGCTGGGGTTTGCGGTTCCATTGGAGCAGAGAGGATATTGGAGGTTTCGGTTTGGGAGTTAGGGTTAGGGTTTTGGGAAGGGGGAATGTGAGTGGGGTTTGAAGGGTTGCCGGAAAAAATGGAGGTTTGGTGGCGTTGGTGGCGCCGGGGAGAAAGTGGAGAGAGAGCATTGGGAAGTGATCGAGAGAGAGCGACAATGAGAAGAAAGCACAGTGGCTGAGTGACCACTGAGAAATGGACGAAGACGAAAGTTCAGATGCCCATGTTTTCCTTGCAAAAGGTGAGTTCTGATTTTCTTTTTTAAATTTGAGTTTTTTTTATTTTTTATTTTTAAGATATAATAATTATAAATAGTTATTTTTTAAATGCCGTTATTTATTCTTTGTTGAATTTAAATTAAATATTTAAGACAACAAGATGAGCTCAAGGTATATATTGATAGGATTTTTTTTTTAAAGAAGTAACTAGTTATGTATAATTTATTATTAAAAAGTTAAAGTGATATTTTTGTATTAATAATTATACATATAACAAATCTTAAATTATTGTGTGAAAAAATTTTCCATATAAAAATATATAATAAAAATCAAATTATAAACGTTAAGATAATAAAAGTGAATCTTTTAAATCATATAACACATGTGAATTAAATACATGAAAATTTAATATTATTTTTTAATTTTTACACATTTTAGCTCTATAACAGTAGATGTTTGTGTTTGAATATCATCATTTGCATGATAATGAATCAAAATAATTTTCAATTGTAATAGATATACAATCCTAAAACAAAAAAATATTTAGGTATATTGGTAGTCACATAATGATATACAATTTATTTTATTTGAAGGTTCATAGAAATCTATACAATTGTTCAAGATTAATTCTATAACAATCATTTTGAGCCTTAAAGACAAGATGACATCAATTTAATGTTAGCGAACAATCAAATAAATATATATGTTATTGCAAGATGAGTCTTAAGGATAAGATGACACCAATTTAATCTTAGCGAACAATCAACTAAACATATATGTTATTGTAAGAAAGAAATCACATAAAAAAAAATGGCATGAATTATTCTTAATATAGTACTCCCTCTGGTCCTTTTTTTTATAAGAAACAAAAGATTAAATCATCAAAACTAAGGAAAACAATTAAATATGTTATATTTTTTATAAATATAAATTTTATTTCAAAAATACCCATAATATTAAATGATATAGTTAGTAATTTATATATTTAATAATACTAATAAAAGAAGGGTATAAAAGATATTTAACAGTTAATGCATCTTAAATCTATCATTTGTTTGTTATAATAAAAATAAAAAAAAATGTTCTACTTTGTTTCTTATAAAAAAAACCAAAAGGAGTATTAATTCAATTAAAATTATTTTCAATACAAAATAAAAAAATAGTATTTAAATGACTTTTTTTATAGATTCTAAATAACATTTATATTCACTAATAAGTGATAAATTAATATTTTAAGAAATTTAAAAATGTTAAGAAAGTTTTCTTATAATATATGTACCTTGAATCATACTTTAAGCTATATCACTTCAAATGTGTAACAAACTTTGTTATTATAATTATATTAAAAAATAATAATATCAAAGTTAAAAGTAAAACAAATTAGAAAAGGTATCCATATATTCTAAAATTTACTAAAGAAATAAAAATAATATTTGACATACTTAATATACCTCAAGCAGTGAATTGAGTTGCTCAATAGACAAAAGTTGTAGGACAAAATTAATAATAATTTATCAACAAAATATATTTACAACTATGATTTAGCACTTGTATATAAGTCCTAGTTAAAAGTAGTGAAAATATTGTCAAATTAATGGCAAAAAAATAAACTAGAGCTCTAATAAGTCAATAGGAAAATAAAAAACAAATATAAGAGATGTTATTTATTAAGATATTAACAATAATTGTATATTTATTTTCAAGTTTCACAAAACTCTCACTAATGTTCAAAATTACTTTTATGACATTCATCTCAAGCTATAAGTCTCATATAATACCACTTTAATACTAAAGAACATATTTAACACTTTTAACTATATATGACATAATAGAATTGATTTTTTTGGTTAACAAATTAAATTACTGGATTATCCTAACTAACCAACAAACTTACAACCAAGCACTTAAGCCTTTATCATTGGAACCACTATTTGGGTTGACCAACATATTAACAATTTGCTTATAAATAGGGGACCTTGCATGAAAATTTTCATTTTTACACTTCTCAAAGGTTCTGAAGAGACCTAAATTCATATACTACCATTTTTTCTCATACTAAACCTTCTTAAACTTAGATTTCTCCTCAGATCTGAGATTTTACGTCTGTTCTAAAGGATCTTAAATAAGTTTTTATAAGTTTGAAGTTAGATTTACCGTTCGTTTCTCTTCTTTTACCGTTCGTTTCTCTTCTTCTTCTCTTTCTTATGGATAGTTGATGATATCTTAGGAGAAACTCCGTTCTAGAGCTAAATTTTCGGTAGATCTTGCCTTAAAACAAGTAATATTCAATAGATCTAATGTGAATTGTTGTTCTAAGGTAAGGAGAGCTTACTTTAACTATTAAATGATGTTTGGAACTATTTGGTATGCTATTACAAGAAATTTTGAGACGATTTTGTCATATCTCTTGGATAAAAGTATTTTCTACATTGTAATTACTGTTAATTGATTTAAAATGCTGAGATTTGGATGAAATATTATAAATTGTTTTAGCTAAGCTGTTGAGAATATGATTTTGTCTATGCTGCATCATACTAAAATATATGTCTTACTTCATTATAAAGCTGAGTTACACGTTTAGGTGGGTAGACGTATAACGATAAAGTATAGTGAGCTATGTTGTGTTGTGTTGTCTGGATCTAGATACTGGAATGGATCACTCTCGGACAAGCTCATATCTTTTTGGATTACTTAGGCTGTGAAACCAGTTAGAATCATTTTCACGTTATGCATTAGATGGGCTAGGGATGCATATGACTGTTGCTATGAGTAATATTTTGCTCTCTATATATTATTTTTCTTTTGTAAGCTCACCTTTGCACTTCTGTCTATGTTGTGTGTGTACTATTATGATCGTACGGTACTATGTGAGCAGATGTAACAAGTGTTGCATTTACTTCACTAGCTGATGGGCCAATGGAGATGTCTTAGAAAGCTAGAGTCAAGTAATTTTACATTAAAGTCCTTTTCCTTATATTTTGAGACGTCATATAGAGGGAAATATGTATTATAATTTTTGTGTATTTTGAGTATCATGAACTAAATGTAATATTATGTTGTTCTGTTAAAAATTTGTTGTAAGAAACTTTATTTATTTTGAATGAAAAGTGAATTTTATAATTATATTATCCATTATTTATCTATATTAAATAAGTAAGTCGTGTAGAAATAATGTTATTGGTTCTTTATAAAAAAAAAAGTCATGACATTTTAGTAGTATCAGAGCATAGTTTAGGTAAACCTACGAGGTAAGATTGTTAGGCGTCAGTTGCGCATATTAGACATGTGAGCCTTAGCTGTAAATCATATATCATAATTTCTAATCATCAGGTTGCGAGGGAACAAGCTTGATCACCTCGGTTCTCAAACACGACAGATGTAGAAAATTTTGGTATATGATACTTGGGTGAGCTATAGGTGAGTCATGCATTGTGAATAATAGGTTGTTATGCTAAGTTGTAAATGATTACTGAAATAAGTGTGTTTGCTATACTGTGTGAATGTTGAGATGATGTTATGTTAAACGCTAAATTGATTAAATTACTATAATATACTTAATATGAATATATAACTATAAACTGAATCTATGAATAGAACTATGTGATGGTATTGCTGAATGTGTTGAATCTTAGTAATTTAAGCTAGTTTTATTCTGTATATTAAGATGGCTAGACTAAGAAGATCTGCTGCAAACCTTCCTCCTCATGCTGACGTGACCCAAATGGCTCACGCCATGGAAGATGTGGCAGCCACAGTGAGGCAAAGTCTAGAAGTGATACAAAAGCAACAAGCTGCAAATCAAGCCGCTGCTGCAGCATTGCCTCAATTGTACCTCCTCCTGAATATCAGAGATTGTCTAAGTTTAGAAAGAACAATCCTCCTCAGTTTACTGGAGTTAATGGGCCAGATGCGGCCGAGCAGTGGATTAGAGATATTGAGAAGATCTTTCTCACTATGGGATGTGTTGAGGATAGGAAGGTCCTCTATGCTGCTTACATGCTGACGGGCGATGCCGAGATGTGGTGGCATAGAGTCCGTACTATGCTAGAGGCCTGAGGTGAAGTTATCACTTGGGCTATATTCAAGAATAACTTTTTGGTAAAGTTTTTGCCTGCCCAAGTTTGTGTTGCTAAAGAACAAGAGTTCCTAAGTTTGATGCAAATGAGCTTACCAGTTTATGAATATGCTATATAGTTTGAACGGTTGTACAAGTTTTATTCTCACCCAACCTCAAAGGAATAGAGATACAGAGGTTTGTTGATGAGTTGAGATATGATATAAAGAGAATTCTAATTCTGTTAAGGATTACGAAATTTGCTGATTTGGTGAACCAGACCACCATTATTAAGAAGCTAAATGTTGAAAACACTAGTGGAGTTGGAAAGGCTCCATCCAATAGAGCCGCTAGCAATTATGGAAGTTTGTTGATGGGTTGAGATCTGATATAAAGAGGATTTTGATTCTGTTCAGGATTACAAAATTTGCTAATTTGGTGGACCAAGCCATCATTATTAAGAGCCTAAATGCTAAAGACACTGGTGGAGTTGGAAAGGTTTTATCCAATGAAGTCGCCAGCAGTTATGGTAATGGAGGCAAGGGTGCTAAGAAAGGCTCTTATAGTTGACCATTTTGACAGTAGTAGTTTCGACTATCTCAGTCGAAAGGATAAACAACATCAGCTCTAATGCTGCTGGGAACTGCTACTTTTGCACTTTAGCCTAGGGGGACAGTTACCTTAACCCCTAGAGCCTCAGCACTATCAGGTGCTTCAGGTGTAGTGGACCCCATTACCTAAACCAATGTCCACAAGCTTATGTTAAAGTTTGTTTTTCATGCTAGTAGCCTGAGCACCTTGCTAGGGACTGTCCTACACCTAGTGGGGTAGCCTTATCTTCTGCTAGCGACTTGCATTCTGTGAGGCTTAGAGTAGCCAGAGCCTTGGCGACAACCAGATCGAGAGATGAGGGACGTATATTCACTACTTTTGCTTTAGAGATAGCCTAGGAGACGGATCTTGTTCAGGGAACAGCTGTAGTAG